TGCGTTTGTTTCTCAGAGAGTACCGCCGCTCGCGCGCCGTCTGGGCTGTGTGCGACAGAGAGGTCGTCGCCAGATGACGGCGCGCGTGAGCGAGACGGCGACAGTGGCGGTCGCGCCTGAGCACACGGATCACAGAGTATTTTTTTGTGATAATCTACCTCCTTATCAGTAGCGGTCGAATAATTGTTATCACTCATCATCATGGGTGTAATATCAACAATTCCCGAGGGACCACTTTCGCAATTGCAATCCGCACAATCCAACATTCGACTTGTACCTCGTTTTCTGTTAAGAAAATTGTCCCGGTCGAAATTATTAACTATCGATGACTGCTGAAGATTAATTACTTCATTTCGTAGCTTCGAAAACTGGTCCACAGTAGTATATGTTTCCTTGATAGTCTAAATCTCGTGTTTGAGGATAATAAGATCCTTCAATATCCGAGTCGCATCCAAGTGATCGAAAGTGACGGGGGGCAATTTTTGCAGGTCACGAGCAACAAAAATTGGCATTTCCTCAGGATCTTTCTGTTTTATCAATGTGATTATGTCTTCTATTTCTCTTTGCATTTTACCCTCTCTTTTCCGGTTAATTTTTCTTCCTAAATTCTTGACTGAGGCAAATAAAAGATTCTTTGCAGCAGTAATATCGTCCGGTGTGAACGCCGTGGCACACAGTCTAATCATGGACTCCTCGTCCATCACATCACACTTGTTCTGAATAAAGGCCAGAACCTCACATATCACCACATTACAGTTCGCACACTTTAACATTTTAGAGGTCGTTGACCCGGTCGCATTAGCCATTGTGACGTACGCGCGCTGCGACGCACCGCTCGAGACCGAATATAAACAAACATGGTTTAGTCTACAAGAATTATGTAGGTAGCCGACATGCTTATTTTTGTGTAGGTTTAGGAAAACACTGAGCCAAATGTTGTCTATGACAGCAAGTAATAATAAAAAACAAATACGTATTTATAATACTTTCAATTTCCCAATTATTGAAGAGAAGAAAAATAGTTGCTGCCATTCCAGTTTCCTAACCAGCATTTGAGATTTTCACCCGCGGCCGCCGCGGTTGCGGAATAGAGATTTATTTTCAAAACTCATGAGACCGCAGATTTCTGCGGTCCCGTAGCTGCCGCGGTTGATTATCGCGCGGTGGCGCGGGCGGTTCAACGATCAGTTGAGTTCCAGACCGGCCATCCCATTGCGATCGCTCGCCAACCGATCGCAGAGTGCGCGAGTGCTAGCCGCCGCGGCTGCGGGACTGCGGCCCTCCTGCCGGTGCTGCAGGAGATGCAAACAATCGCAACCGCCGCTGGTGTAAAACGCGCCGTGAAATATGCTTTGATTTTTTATATATATATCTGTATCCTACAAACCCGCAACCGCTGTGAGCGCGGGAGAAAATCGAGTGAGTCCTTACCCTTAGCCTTACCCAGGAGTCGAAAATTTGAGAGTCAGCTTGTGTGTGTCTTTATTACTCAATTACTGAAGGGGTCGGTATAAAATTTAGAACCGGGGTAGATTGTGGCCTGCAATAAAACATATGCCACTTTTTATTCCACGGGAACGCGGGAAAAGCTACTGGCAGAAGCTAGTTAGGCATAATAACCTTAGTTCACTTTACGACCTATCAACAAACAAGAGATACTATTTATGTCGTATTTAGAACTACAGACATGGCTGGAAATTATCTACTAACAGCATTAAAATGGAAACTTCAAAACTTTTGTCCACACGAATTTAGTTCATCATACGAGTCTAAAGTTTAATATCTTAATTAAATTTCTCTTTAGTGGCAACTTCCAAGTTGTTTCATTGTATAACTAGTAACAATTTCTATTTATTGCTATAATGTTATATTTTTCGTAAGAGCTTTTCAAAATTTAGAAGAATCTGTAATGAAGACTTCTACCATTGATCAACAAAGGATCTTATTTGTTTGAAGTTTTGTATCAACTTTTGGTATTAACAATTAGTATAATTATAACAAAGTAAAATCCAATTTCATGATAAACATGATTCCGATCCTAAGATTAAAATTTTGATGGTATTTAAATGTCAGAAGGCCTCTATGGAATCTTCGCATAAACATACAATTTTGATTTGTGACAGATTCAAGAGTGATGCCCAGACGTATTACAGATAACGGAACTCCTCAACAATCAATAGCACACATGTGAGTTTTTGTATAAACATTCAATTCTGATGAATTTTCATATAAGACTCCATATTTTTAAGTCATCTGCACAAAAATATTGAATATTCACGTTATTTAAATTGATTGATCAGCTTTGATTGCCCTTTTGAATGTGTTACAATGTGAAATGGACTTTTGTGTATTTGTTACAAAGTTTACTTTGACATTGATTGGAATAAGATCCGTGAAGGAGGTGTAATGTCTTATATTGCAGTGCGTTTGTAACAGTATTTGCGGTATGAACTACGTTACGTATTCAAGCGGTATCGCGGGTTGCACCGTCTGCGGTAAAACGTCTACATGCAAATTCCGTATTATTGTGCTTGAACATTTCATACGTTCAGTTTATCATACATTTGTAAGTTTTTATCATACAACAACACAAACAGATGTCTACATGTTTCAATATTGTTAATACATGCTTCACAGATCAAATTTAAAAAGCCGTTTTGTAAAATTACTTCAGTTTATTTCCGCCAAAATTATCATTTCATGTCTATATGCAATTTGATGACCGCGTAATATAAACTCTATAATTTTGTCGGATTATATCTCCAAACTGCCACCATTCCTTTATGCATTTTAATTAAAATTCCACGTTCACATGAAATTCAACAACTGCATTAATTAATAATTTTATATCTCCCACATGTTAGAGATTAAAGCGAAGTTTCTGAGAGCTGCATTGAGCGTCACGTTAGCTCAAACTCATAATTCAAAATTCAATGTAAGGACAATATTCAGTGAAGCAAAGTTAAATTAAAGTCACATGCGGATTTGGCTGCGGTCCGGCGGAGCTTAAGGCGGGCTGTGGCACCTGCGCTCAAACCTAGCACTGAAAACACAATTTGTGGCGCGCCTTTTGTACTCTTGTTTACTTTTATGCATTTTATTTAAACAATTTTATTGTTGTATCCGTGGCTTTGAGAAAAGAAGGAAGATTTAAGGAAGATAGGTTTCGTTGCAATAAAATAAAATGTTATTTTGTTTAAGTTTAGATATAAACATCTTCATAGTTAAGTTGAAGAATTAGGACGATGCTTTTGAAGATTATGTAGACAGATTTTATTATTTGTGAATTTGTGACGTAAATCATCCGATTTTGGTGTTTTGAAAATTGTAAATGAGATATTAATTTCGTTTCAGCTATTTTTAAAATTGGGTACTTGCCTGAATCAAAAATAAATTATTTTGACAGTTCAATATCTATAGTAAAATATTAAAAAAAAAGAATAACCCTAACTTTAATAGATTTTATGACTAATTTAATTTTAGTATTTTTCCAGCAAATTTTGAACAAATAAGTATGCTGTTTGACGCTAAAAAGTAGTGACATCACTATACGCAATCTCAAACAAAATTCATAGAAAACTGTGACTTTTGATAGTTCGAGAAAGGTATTCAATTTGACTAGTTGGTAAGTACCCAATTATTCTCTATTTTGTTATTCATATCAAAAAAGTACGACTTGAAATACAATAAGTTCTTTGGAACTTTTCTCTTATCAATACACAAACAGTTTAGTGTTACATAATAACATTCCTAGATTAGTATGACGTCATGATCTACGTCCACGCGTCATGCTTAGGAGATACACGTGAAGTTTCAACAGTTCGCAGTAAGTTAGCACTTTACGACTGTTTGACTATGTGAACCAAAGTTTCATACTCTTGGATAGCTGCTGAAGTGTTATTAACTTCAAAATTAATTATAATTCTAAATCATTTCAGATTAATGTTTGTCTTATTTTCTTCATAGAATTGCAAAAATAACGTCATTTAAAATGCAATTTTCTTTGCCTCGGTAATGATAAAGAATAATCCTTATCGTTATTTATAATTTCGTTCACAAATATTTACCAACAAGAAGATACACAATTTCAAGAAAAAATTCCTCATATTGCTAAATAAAACATAAACTAAAATAACAAAAACATATACACGTGTTGTAACAAGGCGACAACGGATGTTGACACGAGAAATTCTCCTCGAATTTTTGTCTTGCCTTAAAAGGTGTGTAAATAAGGGAGTGCGATACAATAGAAGGAGAGCAAACAAGGTAATAAAGCACGTCACAAGGACGATCCTATATATAATCAGCTTAGTGATAAATTGGCAAACAGCACGCGAACGACACAGCTGCTTCCGGCCCGGACCGGCCTGTCTCCGCGATCGTACTACTGCCGCCGGCGCCGGCTAATGCTCAGCGCACGGAAAGAATAATATTATCTTCACAACTAGTAACAACTAACAATGAGATGTGACATCGTTAAATTATTTCCTACTCCGCTCACTTCTACATATAAATCAGGATTTGTTAAGGGAAGTCACAATAGCGATACTCTCAGCAGACAAGTAATCCTCAAGTTTGTTCTAAAGTTTGAATTACAATTTGAAACGAGATTACCATACAATAATATTAAGTACAACCATTTTCAGTAACGCTCATAAAACCGCAAGTGGGGAAAGGTATTTTATTTTCAGGCTCATAAAGTCTGTTTTCTTTTATTTTATGGTGAAATATTTTACTTGCTGCTTAACCGCAAGGGGAGGATACGAAGCTACGATAAAAACACTAATTACGAACCTGCACTTTGTTTTTGTTGACCTAAAGCTTATTTTATTTTTTTGTGGAACTTGTTATAATGACGAAAAGTATATTGCAAGTAATTATCTACGAGAATAGACGCTTGTTATGAATAGACTTCCTTATCTAAATGTGGAACAGATTATTTATAAATATAATGTTACAAATTTCAAATTTCGAATAGGTGATATCGTTATAATATTTACCCGTATAGGAGAGCAGTATTTGCAGTAATGCCGACACTACAGCCGCTCCAAGGAGGCTGTGCATTGTCTATGACACGTTCTCTATCAGACCCGGCATTGGAATTTGTTTACATTTTATCGCTGGAGTATTCAGACTTCTTTAACTTTTTCATGATAGAAATAAAACGTTCAAGTCCTTAGTACAAAGGAAACTTTGGACATTCTCTTATATATGGTTTCATGGTTGCATCTGAAACAAAGAAAATATTGTTAGATTAGATGCGTTGTCATTTCTTATTGAGATACGGTAGAAGTTAAGAAAATCGTTAAATTAAGTTTGTTTTCGTTTTTCCACAAGTCATTAATATACCCAGGACTATATTTGAGTGGTAGTTCCTAAATAAAAAAGATGTGTGTCTCCTAAAACTCGTCATTACGGGCCCAGTTCTAACAATGCGAGGGAAATAGAGCAGTGGCAGATTGGCCGTCCATCGTGTCCCTATGCACACCGCAATGACCCATTTACCCTAGTAAGTAAACATTTCGAATTTGTGCGAAAATGGCTACTTATTACGACCATTATTATATTAACATGTTCGAGTATGTACGGTACGGTATATTATAGAAAAAAACGTAAGCATTTATACATATTAATGTAGTCGCAACTACCAACTTTTTGTAAAAATGTTTTGGTAATATAGGGTACATTTTTGGTTTTAAAGTAGAAGATAGTCTTCTTTGAGATCTATTGTGGCAGTCATTGCACAATACGGACTCTGGAGGTGGTCTACTTAAAAGACCCGGTGACCCCTAATTGTTATTTAAATGTGGACACTTGTAACACCTCTGGTGTTCCAGGTGTCCATGGGCGGCGCCGATTCTTGAACAACTTGAGGTCAACCGAATGCTTGTTTACCACTTATGACATAAAAAAATCAATAGTGTTTCTTCCCAAAAGTCCTACTAAAAATATATCCCGACTTCTAAATTCACTAACACGCCTAATATCAGGTATACAAAAATACTTAGTTTAGTTATAAGCGCACATATTTATTTATTTTTTTAATGGGGGAAAATCATTGTATTACTGCTCCCGCTTGGGTGAGGTGGGAGAGAGTGTCAGACTCTTACTGACTAAAAACCACCCCGTTCCTTCTCCTGCACGTCGAGCCGGAGCCCCGGTTACCCGTTAGGTTCTCCGCGACATAAGCGCGCATATTAAGTCTTAAGTTCGATTCTGATTATAAGGTGACTCAACACGACAGTGAATAATCGACTTTGACATAATCATTTTATGTATAAATACAGAACACCACATAATTTATGTTACAACTATATGTAAAATTGTTTTTTAATACCAACAATTACAAAACTGTCAGAAGTTTATTAGTTATTCAGTAACAAAACATGACTCATTAATTAGCCATGCACGGGTAAAAATAAATTTAATGTAATTGCATAATATTTCTTTAACTGCAGTTATTTCTTTTATTGAATTATTTTGAAATTACTTTCAAATAAATCCAAATGATATAAAGAAAAAAATAAGGATCGACTCCTTATTTGAAAGTTAGAGATTAAGTAAGAAACGCGTAAGGGTTCGCAAATTGATTATTATTTTATAATTATTAAATTCTTGTGCATATTTTTATCTCCTAGAAAGTTGATTACTAATTTTCTATAATTTGCTGTAGTTTTAACTTAAAACAGTTAACTAATCATGATTAGTTTTCTATTATCTCATAGATAAACTAGGGGTAGACGGTAGACATTTACGATCACGATTATTTGCTCGTAAAAGTCTCACCCTACCTTACTTCGCCATGTAACAATGATGAAATCGGACCGCAATTTGATAGAATTAAAACAGAGCCGTGATATTTATTGAAGGTATATTGAATAAGGATATTTAAAACAAAATATGTAATAATAGCTCATTGATACGAAAGACGGAATTATTTTTGTTATATTTATTTCACAGTAAGTATATTTATTGATTTTGATTGAAGACTTGGTAATTTGAGTGTTAATAATTCATTAGATTTGCCAAATCTCTATGGTATATTATGATTATCGTATGATATGGCGAACGAAATTACTGCATTGATAAAACATTTCAGTGCCAATTATTAAAATGTACCAATGCGTACTGATTAAGTACCTCTATATTAGCAATACCTTTTTGACTTTAAAAGTTAATTAAGACAAAAACAACCCGATTCCAATCGAATTCTTAAACTTAGAAAACTGTTACTCCACCCAAAAATATGAAACTAAAAAGGGAAGTTTTAAAAAATTCGGCGAGGCCATCGGCGTTTGTTCCGGAGCGACCGCTGATAATGGAGATTTGATATGTCGCCGTCCATGTTGATGTCGACCGTCGAGTTTGTTCGCCTCATCGTATAAATAAGCATAAAGTTGTGTGCGATCACGCGAACGAGTCGTTAACCCTGCTCCATGGCGCAGTAATGGAGAGGTGAGGGTGTCATTGAGACCACAACACAACCACTTCGGCACGGTCCGAATGACAGCTAAGAAAGGACTGTAATTAACAGTTGATAAAGTTTTAGAATATGTATTCGTGTTAGTGTTACATCTATATTACGGGAATGAAGATATTGGATTTGTAATGTTTTATTTATATTTATGTCGTCAGTTATTATTATGTTCTACGATATTGTCGTGTCTGAAGGTTAAGGTGATTTTAATATAAGCGGGTTTGAAGCTCAACATGTATCGATACTATTTTTATTTTCAGTTATAGAATATAGGTAATGTAAGTTCTGTGTACATGCTTGAGTCTACTGTATTCACTTTGAACAGATGTGATCAATGGAGTAAAACTATCAATCTCAAGCTTTGCATACGGGTTGGAGATTGCGGTTCAAAAGCATCAGGTATATCAGAGAGCGCTATACCCGGTTTCTGTCAAATGAGTCACACCAGTCAAGGACTTCTGTCCTTGAGTCTTGTCGTGCGATACTTACGGGAACAAAAGGGATAGTGATAAATGTTATCGTCATCACAAGTGACTTCATAAACTTCTACCGAGCTTTTTACTCAAGCCACATAATAATTCATTAAGACAGTATTAGGTATGGGAAGTTAAATAAAAACAAATAACTAACCATCTCTAGTACGTAGTGAGTACAATTAACTGTTTAATACTCTTCAAAATTCAAGAGTTTTAACTCTTAGAATAGTACCTGAATCCTTCTTCATGTTACAATTTAAGTATCTTATTCTGCGAACTGTTGCCAGGCTCAACGATAAATTGTTATTTTGTTATATTTAGTCAGTGATAAAGTGGCTTCTTACATACATATTACGGACTAATTGTGTCTTTAAACTTAACAGAACTGCATGTTATACGACAAATTATTAAAATCATGTCATAATAATCAAAGTAGAAATCGTGAAATGTATATAATTGAATTATTAAATTACATTATACACGAATGTTATTTGTATTAAAACGGTAATGAACAATACGCGTCATAATAAAACGGCTGACGAACAATGACGACAGAAATAATTAACTAACAATGTAATGAAACATTGACAACTCGACTGTATTATTGGATTACGCACGACGTAGGTAACATCGCTGTCACAACACAGACATTAAAAGAGTCGATTTTTTAATTCTTTACAAAAAGGCCGTGAATGAAACGAGCGCACTGCACAGTGGAATGTCAGGAAAATATTTTTTGAAAAGGTCCGCTTTTTCAAAGCCACGTCGTCGTCGTATTGAATGCGTTTTAATGAAAAAACATGCGCCGATTCGCAACAGTCAAGGGAATTAAAACCTCCGAGCGCCGTTCGCGATCCCGAATGCATCGGTCGGAATTTTCATTTGTCCGAATATTATTTCCACGGGGAATTTTGCTGGCACTATTTTGTTTAAATTTATGACTGGCTCGTTTTGTGATTTTGCTTGATTAACGGTTTGGATTAGTTGCCTACTGCAGAGTTGTTTGGCTTGGAGCAAAGTCTACATGCTTAGCTATAATATGAGCTGCAACTCCTTTCTTAAAAAAAAAGTATCGACAAATATCTAATCTGATAATGGCTTTTATAAGAAGCATCTTGCGTTAAATCGAAAACATATTTCAATTCATTTAACTCGTCGAGTACCGGTTTTGTAGACACAATTATAGAACAATAGGTTGCGGTCACCGGTGACCGCTTGGTGTTTGACAGTTTAAACTGTGAAATTCCAATTCGTATTAAAACAATTGTTATCAAATTGGGTGCAACCTTTTCAGAGAAATTGACCTACAAACTTGCAGAAAAAGGGGGAATTCTTTACCCAGCAGCTTTGTGTGAACCCGGGCTAATAAGATGAATATAACAATCACAAAGTTCTTATCACTATCAGCATACTTATACAAATAAAGTAGGTATCCCGTTACATATATCTATCTGTCTTCTAGACAAACTGCTGAACACATTTCCATACACTTTTCACCCTTATTTAGTGAATTAGTGAAAAACTGTATATTTGTAATTGACAAAACTATGACCATAAGAAACTAAATAGTATGTATGTAGAATAAAATCATATAAAACACATGATATCTTGCACCATCTTATTTCTATTTTAATAAGATCACCGTCGAGTTCCATCCAATATTAACGTACGGAAAATATCGAGGGAACTCATCAATAATTCTTGAGGCATTTCTATCGCTCTTTCTTTATATTATGAAAGTTTTTAGATACGATATATCGCATGATAATGTGATTAACAGATTAGGCAGAGAAGTACAGTTACTTATAACATTTTTCAAATGTCTGCTTAGTTTATCTCTAGAACTTTTATTGAGTGCGTATGCGCAAGTCTTAAGTTAAAAGTTAAGTTAATTTTAACTAAAATTGCGATAAACATAAAACAGAGATTGATTTTTGGAATGAGTAAAATTAATGGTTTTAGTCACAAGTAATCATGAACAAACAAATATAAAAAGTATAAAAAAATAAGCTGTGTTTCACACTCATGCGCCTCGAGAACCGTTTAAACGTGGAAGGTGGTCCTGCGCCTGACCATTCCCTGATTACATATATTATCCGTATTTTTTATTTGTATTTAATATGTTATGAGGTAGTTCTTTGAGTGAAATAGAAAAAAAAAAACTCCAATACAAGAGTGTTCTTTAGGTACTACTATTACATCAAACTATTATTACCTATTAACTATTCATATGTACCCTACATGAACATCATATGTATATTATAATTATCTCCAAAAAATCATAGAGTTAGTTTAAACATATGTTTAAGCATATGTTATACTAGCGACCCGCCCCGGCTTCGCACGGGTGCAATATGCATGTATTATACATACAAACCTTCCTTAAGAATCACTCTATCTATTAAAAAAAACCGCATCAAAATCCTACGCAACGGATTTTGATGCGGTTTTTTTTTAAAGATCTAAGCATAAATACGGACATACAGCGAAAGCGACTTTGTTTTATACTATGTATTGATTGTAATGCAACATGATGATGAGAATGTAATGTTTTATGATCTATATATTTTTTTTGCATCTCATAACATAATTTATTTATAAATAATATACTTGAATATCATAATATGAATAAACGTATACAACTTAAAATTAACTAAAACTATAACAGCGAATAAAAAGAATAAAATAAATCGAAAGATTTAGTATTTATTGTACTAGCAATAAAGTTTACAAGCCACGTAAATAAACTCATACTCAATATATCTTGACCAAAAGCCGAATACATCTAATGAATACCAATAAAATAACCCCCATATTATCGAAAGTAAACATATTTCAGTAATTATGATAATATCGATAATTATATTTAAGCCGGCTGTATTATAATTATTCTATAATAATGCCTTGGATTAGCATCCCCCGTGTAGAGCATAAATTTAATTGAAGGTAAGGGAATTGGAGAGCTAATTTTATTAGACATTTAATTATTGAATTGCTAAGTAATTGTATGCCATATTATTATGAACATACCGTATCTGTTACTGCTGTGTCCCTAGCTATATTGTACTGATTACCTACAAATACCATCGTTCGTAAGTTTGGAAGTAGTTCTGCTTTAGAATAATACATAATTATTCTGATTATTAACGGTTAAAATTACTTGTCAATATTATAATTATTTACGTAAAAACAAAGTAATTAAGTATATCTAAACATGTTACAAGAACATATTCTTTTTAGATTTTGATGAACGGACTACCCTTCCCACCGGTACATACATATGTCATTTGATATTTTGTTTATATTACCGTGTACCTAAGTGTAAAAATTTCAAAAATACTAAAATAGTTCTGATAGGATTTTACTCTAAAATTTTAGTGTGATTCTTCTAACTTGGCTGGATTGGGAAGTCAGACATAAGTTAAGCACTGTCATTAGGTTTTTTTTAAACTAGATAATATACCCTAACAAGATGTTGGGTCATATGTATATATAGTAACACATTATACGCCATGGGGGTCACCGGTGACTAACGTTAGCCTTAAATAGTTTTCGTTAAAAAGTTTTGTTAAATATTTAATTATTATTTTGCACAATACGAAGGCTTTTACAATTATTTTCATAAATATTTGTTTGCTTCTAGATACTATACTATTGTCCATACAGTATTATACAATAAATTGCATTAACACTATATTATTATAGGTAATAACGTAACTTTTAAAATAGAAAAGTTTATTTTAACCTATAGTTTCGTCTCTCGTTAATTTAATAACAAACTATTTAAACTGTGCATTCTGTGATAAAATATCCCTTAATAATGAGAAAGTTATAATCAACATATTAACAATGAAATTAATATATACTACTACCAACTATCCGATGTATTACTATTATCAATTTAAGACAGTCTTAAATTTATCTAAGATGTCAGATAGAAGGAATAAAATAAATTAGAAAGGAAAATACATTTATTTTAAGTTTAATAACAACAAAACGTTTACGTACTTGGAAACAGTTATATCAACAGGCTTCGGCAGATTTTGTAAATAATCTTCCCACACTAATATATTAAAACAATAAAACTTTATTATTACAGTCGTTAACACTGATTATATAAATAGTTCTTACTAGAATTGCAAAGATATGTTACTTCGTGTTACGATACGAAAGTTATCGGAAAGTTGCCGCCATTTCGCGCTGGGCCCAGCTTTGAGGCCGTGTTCACGCGAGCATGTGCGCGTCGCGACTGAAAGCTTGTTTCGAAACGGCCTATACATACCCACTTGTCTACATTACAAGTTTTGCACTGAAACACTCGATTCTAAAACGTTCTAAGTTCAAACATGATGTAAAGAAATTAGAACGTTATTACCGATACACAGAATTGATATCGTTTTGAATATTTCTTTGATGTGACCTTTTGAGTTCTATCGAAAGGAAGGCTCTTAAGCCCGTGTATAAAAGGGATGCAGTGAACGTATTTCGTTCACGGAATATTGGATCGTTGGGCCACGCTGCAGAGCTCAATATTACAATGCAGTAAAACTATGAAAACCATGCGGCACGTCAGAAAACGCGTGAAATTTTTCCCTGCGAGACAGAGACGGATAGTTTTTCGTGATAAAGGGAACTGCCTACACGTAGTCGGTGGTGGGGGTGATCTTAAAATGTTCCAAGAATCTGTATGAGAATATAGTCTTTTGGTACGTGTGTTTATGTGATTTGTTATGTACTAGCTAACGTACATAGTACCCATCTAGGAATCAGTGTGACATCACTATTTTGTTACTTCATTCGGAAATAGTTTTCAATAGCAACATGAACACGTAAGTGCATAAGAGCTCATTCATAAAACATAAGTACAGGGCAGACTCTCAAAGGACCTAACTCCAAGTAAATGTTGTTTATTTTGTTAAAGAAGAAAGCCTGTACACAACGGAGAGCGCCACATGTCAGAACATGAATAAAAGAAGAGCTATGTTTCAGACTTTCAAAAGTTCAGTCAGTATTTTCAAAGCAATACCTACATTTTTCATGTAGTAACTTGGTCGTTAGTGCAAACTTGAATCAATAAACATGTATCTTGGTTTCAGTGCCTTATTCATTCTGTGACGTCGAACGTTATTTCAACATTTCGAATTTCATTTCAGAGATACGAAATTTATGAATGAAAATAAACAGAGTATTTTCTCGTCTATTTTCTGCAGGTCAACATTTAGTATCTTGAAAACAATATTGTTTATAGAAGCTTCATTAAGTTTAATTTACACTGTGAATAGTAGTTAATTAATAACTGTGAAATTATGTAAATGCATCGTTATTTATATGACAACATATTTTACGGTTTAAAACACAGAAACCACGGCCACACGGTAATAAGCTACCATTAGTTACTGGCTAGTTATCGCAAATAATATACTAGAGCAATTTATGAGTCATGTGTTTGACCCTAAATATGCGCTATAAATTATGGTTTACTTTGTCGTTTATGAGGGCGGGTGCAGACATAACCCTGTGCGCGGTATGGCACATGTGCTACAGATTACGGCAATAAGGGAAATTGTCTTTTTTATGAACGTCCCACGACAACGTAAAGCATTCACGTGAGCGATGTCACTTAGGCCCAAACAAGATTTGGACACTAATAACGGCCCCCGGTCACTACCATCGCAATCTTGCTAATGTAGTACCGGTTTTATCCGGACAAAATTATGTGCTTCTAGACTGTGACGTAAATTGTGGCTGATAATTGTGTTTAATAAAATGTGTAGCCGTTAAAAGGGTTGTTAGTAGAAGCGCTTGAATTGAGCTTATTGTCCAAATATTTAGATACACAAAAGCTTAATTAATTAAGTCGGTCTAGTATATCTGCTGAATACACTGAATCTACAAGTCACCCAGTATTATTGAGATTTATTGATAAAATGTTAATAAAACGTCTAAATGAATTTGCACCTAATGTCAGTCAAAAGACAGCCTCGTTGGCCGAGTGGTCGCGACTGCCAGGCAATGGGTCCAGGATTTCCAGATCGGGCAAAATATTACTGGGTTTAAAAAAAAATCTCAGTGGTAGCACGGAGTCTGCAATCGTGCCCGGTATAGACTCACCCTCTATTACATGGGACTCATAATATAAAAAGTGAAAAGTGGGTGTTACATTCTACAGTGCTCTGCCTCTGCCTACTCCTTCGTGGATAAAAGGCGTGATGTTATGTCAGTCAAAAAAGATTAACAAATAATTTATTAGAATTTTTGTATCCGTACCTCAAATCGCACGAGTAGGTTATACGATTTATTCTACCCGAATAAAAAACTTCTCTCAAAAATCTCAATCAAGTATTTATTTATAAATTCCATTCATGATAGTACCACCGCTGTACAGCGGCCCCTTTAACCATTTGTCTTCCGTACCTGCAAGGTGTCCAGTGCGAACTGAAACCAGAAGTTAATTTCACGGGGTATTTCTCCTACTGCAAGAAAGCGGCTCCTTATTTTAAAGCACTCTTGTGTAAAATAGAATTAATTCATTTCCTCTTCAAGCACTGTAGGTGGAATTAAGTTAGGATACCTTGCGACGAAAAATTAAGGTGAATTTTCTAGAAAGTAATTTGGAGTGTATAAAGTCGTGTAAGAAAATGAGGTTCTTTTTAGCTTTAGGTAGTTAACGAAAGATATGCTTGAATTGAAAATGCAAAGCGTTTGCTAGTTATGTATGTAAAACTATTCAAATCGATGTAGAAACTACTTTTTAACAATGATACCATAACGTAAATGATGTACCTAATTAAATTTATCACTGACTTGTTTCAAATTTGTGCGCGCAAAACATTTCGTCTTATTCAATTAAGTTAATATTTTGTTAGAATGAAATTTCATTGAAATCTGCAACATAACATAACATAACATCACGCCTTTTATCCCTAAAGGGGTAGGCAGAAGTGCACACAGAAGTAACACCCACTTTTCACTATATATGTTATGAGTCCCATGTAATAGGGGGTGAGCATATTGCCTTATACTAGGCACAATTCCAAACTCCGTGCTACTACTGAGGTTTTTTTTAAAACCCAGTAATTAAAACCCAGTAAACTTTGCCCGACCCGGGAATCGAACCCGAGACCCTATGCCCGGTAGTCGCACTTTCAACCACTCGGCCAACGAGAGCATTTGAAATCTGCAAATCCAAACTAAATGATGTTTTCTCTTAACACTCAAAACAAGCCTATAAAATACGTCTCATAAGTCCAAAGAGATCGCCGTCAGTTTTGATAGCAATATCAACGGTGATCTCCAGCGTTATCCGAAGGGAACACGATCTCATTCTAAACTTGCTCGCCATTATTTTCATGACATATTTCACAATAGCACAATGTCCGTACTAAAGCTGTGCCGCTACAAAATTCACGATGCGTTTAAGAGAAAGCGTTTTCATATACAACGTTATGGGTCTGTTTTCTATTTCACTTTTTTATTTTTATATTTGTCCTTTGTAGGTTCATGTTTTGGTAAACTGCATTTTAATTTCCTTCGTAAATGTTTTACGTTTTATACCATTCTTTATGGACAATATTTGCATACGAATCGTATATGTTTCTAAGCTGCTGTATAAAATTTATAAAACGCAAATTAACGTTAAACTAATCAATATCTCTGTTCTTTTACTGGACCAAGGGAATCTTTACGTGCTAGAGCACGTAATCCGATACGATAGATCGTAGACCGTATCATCGCTTACCACCAGGCGAGATAGTGGTCAAACATTGACCCATCAAATACATGTATAAAAAAACCAGCTGCCTATTACAAGAACCCATATTCTTAACCAAATAAACATTAATAAGTTATTTACGTAATTTCCTTTAGTCAATCAAATACTACCAATCAAGTCATATCGCGAAGTATCATCTCGAGGGAGACGTTTAATTAAACTTCATGGAATCTGGACAAAAGTGTCATGTCTCATGTCGAGGTTCGGCTTTTCATATGACCAGTTATGTTGGTCTGATTCATTACATATTTCAGCTGAATTTTGTTTAGTCTGAGGAGGTCTAGTTCTGTTGGTGACAAATCCGTGTGTCGTGTGTTGGTAGAAAGAGAAGTAACAAACAGAAAACAAATCAACGATACGCTACGGCCGGAGGTTTTTATTTTGTCTGCCACGTAATTGAATTTTGCGGTCGGTTCCATCATAGAGCGTCGGTTCGCGATAGATTTGTTTACAAGTAGCTATGCAAATATCCTCGACTCAAAACTGCATTTATTATCCATTCTGTCTTAGCCAGTTTCGTTTGTAAAACTGTAAAAGTCCATACATTGAAGTTGGTGTTAAATAAGTTCATTAAAAATAATTTTGATTACAATACAAATCTGAAGTTACGTCATAAGAAATCAACTATACTGTTAAGGAAAAACAATAATTTCTTTCTGAATCACCTGATTAACAAATATTATGAGTACATGTCACAATGATACAAGGTTACTTAAGCAAACAAGCATAAGAGATTCCGAGATGCAAATAAAAGGTAACGTAAGTAGCTTATGAAAGAGTTATGCAAATATATCTAAAATAAAGTGCACTTTAAATCCCCTAGAGTTTGCTCAAACTTCACTTTAGACATGTTGTTTACATATTCACACATGTTAACATTACCTTGTATTAGCATTGTTTTATTACTCAGACTGTTTTTAAGACTACCTTTTTAAATGTTCGCGAGAAGTGACTAGTACTTCTGCTGACTTGGTTAGATTTGTATGAAAAAACAAAAAGGTTATAACTAGGTACCGCTTATTTATAGATATGGTCTTTATTTTAGTTGCAAAGATGTTGTGTTTACTTAGCATACATACATACATACATACATAACTTCACGCCTGTCTCCCATGGGGGTAGGCAGAGACTAAGGAACGCCAATTACTACGATTCTTACAATCACAATTAAAAGGCGTATTATACATATTTGTTAAAAAAGACTATCTTAAACCTTTTCGGTATAACCTACACGGCAATTACAACACAAAAAAGTCCAAAACCGTAAGTACACGAACACACAATGAACATTAAATCGAGCATGCATGAAATACAGCACAGTTGAACACAAAAAAGTTGTGCACTTAAGAAAGCTTCCTATACATGAATGAGTCTGAATACCTACCTTGAAGGCCAAAAGAAAAAAGGTATGAATCACCACCTGGTCCCATTCACACGCTTTTGCTAGATTGCTTTCGCACTGGAAC